ACACGCGTTAAAGAACGAAACTGGCCAAGAACATTTCAGCTGAAACTTGAGTCTTCTCTGTCTGTAGAGGGTTTTGAGGGGAACTCAGTCACACATACGAGAACTCGATCATTATTAAGCTAGTATTTGTAGTTAATAAAATTTTTAACTGTTACAGAATAGAGACCTCTACCCACCCTTAGCATCTTCTTCGCTTGCTTCTTTTCGCTTCGGCATCTTTCTGTCTTGTTCGCGTTCCAAGATGGCGCCAGCCTCGCTATGATGGCAACTTTAGCACGCGATAACACGCGCGCTGAAACGCGGAGCGTGGATTTACAAGTTGCAACCGCTAATAATTTTGCCTTTTTCACCAAGTTTTGAACAATGTAGTGAAGTGCCCTTCGACATTATTTTGTAAGTATGAACATTTTTCACGTACCCGTCCTATATGTTATGAGACATTCGGGGAGGGGAGGGGAGGGTGAAAACCAAGTTACTTACCCTACTCGCTACTGCCGACCAGAACCTTGGGAACAGCCAAGAAACTTATTTAGACTTCCTGAGGATACGCGATCTGTTCTCGTTTTCGTTTTAGTTCACTTTGTCTTACATATACCCCATATCCGTAATTTGATGGGGGAAAATCCTTCTGACCCACAGAAACCAGTCTTCCTACATAACCCCGTTTGAGGCCAGGGGATCGTACAACACGTTTTATGCGAGCGCAAACCGCTTGCTTCCCCTTTGTCAAAAGGCCAACCCCCTTTTCCCGTCCTGCCCCCATATGATGGAAAAGCCCTGGGAACGAGGTTGTCAAACTGTGGCCTGTTAACAAGCCTCCGTAGGGATGCTATTACTTCATATAAGAATAAATTTAACTGCTGCACCCTTTACCAATAACTTTTCTATTCCTTTATTATTTTTTTTTTACAAAAAATTGTTTTCCAACAACTGTAGCAGGAAAATTCAAAAATGAAGTATAAATCCCTGTAATACATCTGAAATACAACACACATTCCTCAATTGTTTACCTATTTTCAACACACAAACAAGAACATCATATTTGATTCTCATCAAAACTATTGTTCAGTTTTCCATCCAGTATAAATATAGAAAACGAAATCATAGTAAAGCTCCTGTAGTCCAGCATTATTAACATTAGTACTCTTAACCGTAAACTCCCAGAAGTGAGGAACATTTATCTTCTCTTTAAAATATCCATACATTATCCAGCAAACAAATAATGAGAAATAATCAAACTTGTCAGCTTAAAGTTGCTATCTAACACCAAATTCTCGTAACTAATTTATAGGGAAATGTGTTGCAGGTAGAGGGGAGAATTAACAATCAGATCTTGGGAGAAAAGGGGTTCCACTTTTTACAGTCTAATGATGATTTCACAGGAAATCTTTGCTGGTGTAACAGGAACGTATCAATTTTTAAATAATTTCAACCAAACAAATTCTCAATTAGAAATTATCTCAACATCAAATTGTCCACTTAGAATTACTCGGATTACAGTGTCCAAAAAATAGATAAATCTGAATATTCAAAGGTGTCTAAAACCCAGAGACACTTCCAGCTGAAACTAAAGCCACTTGCATAAGACAAAATAGTGGTTTTCAATTAATGTGGTAATTAATTTAAAATACATTATTATCGTCTGACGTTTTCTAAAATGATGTCCTCTTCATCGTCATCTGTATCATCCGAATATTCGTTGTTCAGTAATGCCTTAGAATTGAACGAATTGATCGATCTCTCTTGTTCGTAATCCATCATATATCCATTTCTCCGCACTGTGAGTTGTTTTTTGTAACGCGCCAATCGCCATAGTCCTATCACAAAGAGAAGAAACACTACTACCACCAGGGCACATATTCCCACCATAACAGCCGCTGGCATGCCAAACACCAAATGTTGTCGAGGCAGGGTAAACTTTACTTGTGCCGCGGGCTCATTTGGATGAACTTGGACGTCCAGCGTCACTTTTTGCCGCCCTGGGGCCGAAGCGGAAACTTCATACTTCCCTGGTGTAAGAATCCGCCAAAAGTCGCCGTCTTTGGTAGTTGTGACGTCGTGATCACGGCCTTTCACTGAGATTACTGCGTCAGAGATGGGAGAGCCGGCGTCGTCAAACACAAACCCCTTAACACCTCGATGAACCTGCCAAAAAATAAAACGGCATCTCATCTCATCTCTTAGCAACTATACATAAAATATAAATATATAACACACAAGAATACAGCTGATTTATATTGGATGAAGTTAATAAGTCAGAGGTATCACAAATAGAAGAAGAGTTAATGCTGATCAGATCTTTACAAAGAAAAGACAGAAAGCATCCTCGTTCAAAACCAAATATTTATTCTATAGTTTTTTTTCAAGTTCCCCAAATAATTTGTGGCCAGCCATAATTCGTGTATACACGAAGAGAGACGCAATGAAGGAGAACCTTCACCATTAGTGTCAGTAACAAGAAAATCCAAATGAAAATTCAAATCCCGCACTCGTCGTGCATGCGCGAGTGGCTCGCGTTCTGCGTGCGTAAGTGACCCACGTCGTGTTGTATTCATTAGAGACCTTAAGCAACCACGACGGCGACGGCAACGAGGACGTGGAAAAACAAGAGATCTAATTGGCAGAACAATAGCTCAGCACGTGCATTTTGAAACTTTGTACATTTCTTAGCCGTCCCATGCAAAACAACAACGTGAAATCGCCAA